GAATTACCGTATTTTAAAAATAGAACCACTGATCTCAAAAAAAGACTGGATCAAGTTTCTATTGTTCAAAAAATGAAGCCAAAACAAATCTCGCGGTGGCCATATTGGAAGGCCTAATGTGTTGGACGCAGTGTGTCTATTTATAAGCGGAAACCATTTGCAAATCATGTTTGATGTTTATCCCTTTTTGTTTTGTGTTTTGCTACATATATAGATGAAAGTGGATAAAAAATCTGTAGTTACTTGCTGCTTCAGACCTAAATAGGAAGGGATCCAAGATGTTGGAAAGTTTATGCAGTTCAGTTCCTACAAGTGTAGATATTTTTAAGTCACAAAGTTTTGTATTTTGCATTTTGCGTAGGCCACAGGGAATTTAGTAAGGCCAAATAAGTAAGTAACATCTTAAATCATATATTTTTATCAAGGGCCTTTTCAAATATCGCCTTTGCTAGAAGCAACCATACTAAATAACTAGCTGTTGTTAATAAAATGTATAAAATTTATCTTTTATAAGATGCAAGTGCAAACATAACCTGCCAAAAATCTTAGATCGAGGAAGAACCTTTTTTCAATGTTTATCAAATACTCTTTTGCCCACCCAACCAATGCTTTATCATCACTGATCTCAAAAAAAGACTGGATCAAGTTTCTATTGTTCAAAAAATGAAGCCAAAACAAATCTCGCGGTGGCCATATTGGAAGGCCTAATGTGTTGGACGCAGTGTGTCTATTTATAAGCGGAAACCATTTGCAAATCATGTTTGATGTTTATCCCTTTTTGTTTTGTGTTTTGCTACATATATAGATGAAAGTGGATACAAAATCTGTAGTTACTTGCTGCTTCAGACCTAAATATAAAGGGATCCAAGATGTTGGAAAGTTTATGCAGTTCAGTTCCTACAAGTGTAGATATTTTTAAGTCACAAAGTTTTGTATTTTGCATTTTGCGTAGGCCACAGGGAATTTAGTAAGGCCAAATAAGTAAGTAACATCTTAAATCATATATTTTTATCAAGGGCCTTTTCAAATATCGCCTTTGCTAGAAGCAACCATACTAAATAACTAGCTGTTGTTAATAAAATGTATAAAATTTATCTTTTATAAGATGCAAGTGCAAACATAACCTGCCAAAAATCTTAGATCGAGAAGAACCTTTTTTCAATGTTTATCAAATACTCTTTTGCCCACCCAACCAATGCTTTATCATCACTGATCTCAAAAAAATAAACCACTTTATTTTGTTCTCTACATTGTGTAAGAAATCATAGATGATAATACAATTGTAGTGAAATCACACAGGCCTATCTCACCTGTGGAATGTTTTTTTTTTTTCACTGACTTTTCATCTTCACTACCCTCGCTATCACTTCGTACATAGTTTTCTTCTTTAACGTTTCGTTTTCTCTTATTACAACCATAAGAAACACATTCCATACCTTGCTTTCCCATCGTTTACACTTGATACCACTTCTCCGCACAGTTATTACAATACCGCAGTGGGGCCCTCCAATATGGCGCCGGTTAAAAATCGCGGGCTTTTTTTTAGATCAGTGCCGCTCTCGACTTTTGTCTGGCAGATCAATCTTTTAGGCCGTAGGGTTGACGCTGGGACTCTGAGGTCGCCTCTTCTCTTTTTTCGAGCTGCAAGACCCACCTTACCATAAGATAAGTTGAGTGAATGTTTATGGCCACAGAAACCGAAGGCAATAATATATTAAAAATAAAATGCAATGTTTATATAAGCCTTGAATTTATTTTGCTGGACCGTCTTAGCTTTATTTTATTTTGTAGCCTTATTTTATGTTTCGTTTTATGTTGTGTCTCAGTTTCTTTTTTTTTGTGTTCTTGTTTTATGTTTCCCTTTTTTTAGCTTTCATTTTAGTTCTTTGTTTTAAATCCTAATTTTCATAGTTTTATATTCTGTTCTTAGTGTTTTTATTGTGTTTACATTTTATATTTCGGTTTGTTTCTTTTAAAATAAATGTATTCTTTTACTTTTGGGTTTTCGGCCTACCACAGTCCTGACATTTAATTTCTTTTATCATGATTATTGTTTTTTTGTATGGATCAGACCCCTTTGAAACTACATAAAACACTACACAAGCAAACAACCCTGCTTTACGCCACTCTTCATTCCGAACTCTGCAGACAAGTCTCCGTGGAACTGCACAGTGAAAAGACTTTACAATGGGAGAACAGCCGATGAATGCAAGGTAGAGTGGCTGGCTTTGATGTCTGCAATTTTCCTGAAGCTGGCGGAGGGAGATCATGTCAACAGTTGATCTCTTGCAACGGAAGCCACACTGCGACGTTGGATAGATTCTGTCTGCGGTTTTCTTCAGTCTGTTTAGGACGTAAATATATATATTCATATATGAATATATATATTTACATTTATATATATTTATATGTATCTATTCATAGATATATTTACATTTGTATATGTATTCTATATATATTTATATGTATCTATTCATAGATATATTTACATTTATATATG